GAAACACACTCCTTAATTATAGTTAGATCTAAAAGAAATCTGTTTTTTCCACCTCGCCAAAATTAATTAGCAGGTGACAAAAGTGCTATGAAGTCAGAGCTAAAAGATACAAGTTGTAAACACTTTAGACTGCTATGCTTTTCCTCTGAAAAACTTTTGGGTCTTTTTTTTTTTTTTAATACATTTTATCTCAGTAGGTAATCTGGAAATTCTGGTATTCAGTTGGGACTATGTGAAGTCAAAGGGTAGCTGCTACTTATTGGCTGAACAAAAGGACTGTGAGCATCTCACCTTTCTGCTCCCTGAAAATTAACCATTGCAAGGATAAGAAAGGTAAAAATAAAAATAATTTTTTGAACTGGTTCATCCATTTTAGAGAATTTAACCTTCAGTCATCTTTGGGGTCATGGAAGTAAATCCCACTATAAAGAATAATATACTTCATTTCCATGTAATAACAATAATTATAAATCACAGTGACAATAATGAGTATTGTCACTGAGTCAAACACTGCAGTATGTTTCTAATGTTGTTGATAGGTGTTTGTGTCTACTCATTTCTTCCCTAGGACAACTTCTGGAACAATTTTATAGATTAGGGATCTGAGGCATAAACCAGCTTGAAATCTTGCCCACGATCATAGAGCTTTCCACTGGCAGAACTGGGATTTGAACCCTGGCAGTGTGGCCTGAGAGTTGGTGCTCTTGACCATTCCATAGCCCTGGCTTCTTGGGGCAAGCAATCAACTGAGGCTCTAGATGAAATTGAAAAACCACCCATTAAGCTTAGTTAATGGAAACAGAAACAAGTGAACATCTACAATCAACCATAATGCAACTCCCTGGTGGTCCAAGGGATTATGATGCAACATTATGAAGCTATCTGCAGCCACTGCAGCATGAGTTTGATACCCAGCCAGGGAGGTGACCCACATTGCACAGCAGACCTCTCCTCACTCTCCTGCTGCTCCCCTCAGCAGTGTATTTCAATCAATCCACCTGTTCTGTTCCCCACTCTGTCTTGGTGAATCCTCTCACCCCCACCCAAACCTCTGGCCTATACCTCAGATCTTGTATGCATAAATAAATCTTTTAAAAAAATAGAATTAACCATAATGCCAGCATAATTTTACTCAGAATAAACTTTAAGAGCTATTATTCACTGAGAAAGACCTTCAAAGTAAAAAGAATAAGGCAAGGTGACATGAGCACAAGAGGGCTCTCAAACTCACTCAGAAAGTTGAACCCAGTCCTGGACATTCAGATACACCTACACACCAGGATTATTCCCCAGTATCCCCACCTCCATGCATAGCTGTTATTTAGCCTGAGTCTTTAGGTTGCTGTAACGGCTGTGAGCATTGTTTAAAGAATTCCCTAAAGGGTTTTGTACAGAACTGCAGTCCCTTGAGACAGTTCCTATAAAAGCACCATATGGTTAATAGGTTTGGAAGCCTGGCCTTCTGCATTTGCCTCTGAACAATGGACCTGCATGTGGGGTATGCCAGGGTCCCAGGGAGCTTTGCAATAATGAAACCTGGGTCAGTTTTTAAATCCAATGTTGCAGAAACTTGTTTGCAGAATTTTTTTTTCTTAGGGCATCTTTGAAATTACTAGTAAAACTATTATCTAAGAAATGCTGCCTCAAGGTGGGATGAGAGCGGGCAAAAGCAGGGCATGACAGTGGGCAAAATCAGGGCACCCAAAGGGCCTTCCGGGTGGCACAGAGGGTTGAGTGCAGCACTGTGGAGCTGTCTGCAGCTGCTGCAGTGCCAGTTCAATTCCCAGTCGGCCAGGGAGCTACCTACATGGTGCAGCAGACCTCTTCTGTCTCACCCGTTGCTCCCCTCAGCAGTGCTTTTGATCCTTTTGCCTGTTCTGCTCCCTGCTCTGTCTCTGGTGAATTCTCTTACCCTCCTGCACTGCTGGCCTATGACCCAGTTCTTGTATAAATAAATAAATACTAAAAAAAAAAAAAAAAAAAAAAAAAAGGCAGGGCATCCAGAGAGTAAAAGACCGAAAGGAAAACTGTTTGAGAAGGAATGTAAGTAGAGGGCAGACTGAAATATCTATAATACTAGCCATAGCACTTCTTATGTATTAACATGGGAAAATTTTTGTTCAAGTTACAAAGGGAGCATGCATTCTGATTACATAAGACAAGACAGAAGATCTGACACATTAACAATCTTGTGCGTAGTAATAGTGTGCATGTTACCCACACAGTATCTCCTCACTTCTGAAAAGAAAATAGAAGCACAGAGTGTTGTTAAGAAGCAGGACACCTAAGGAGAGGGAGGAAGAAGGAAGAAAGTACCTTCAGCTGGACTTAAGTGCTAAAACTTTTTAAAAAAAAAATCTGTTTTGGATTTTAATATTTTTAATTTGAAAAGCAACAAAAGACAGAAGAAAATTCAAAAAAGAATGTGCACTCTCCCGTGTAACACTGCAATAAACTTTTTTTTTTTTTTTTAATTCCAAGGGAGGTGCGATTTCTTTCAGGAAGCTCCCAAGAAACGATGTAAAAAAGTTCTAGGACACTCCTCTGCTTCATCTGTGGACACAGTCATGAGGTACATGTGTTTTAAAAATACTTTATCCTTTGCTTTAAGTCCTCTAGGCACACTAGAATCTTTATCAAGAATGTCAGGGTGGTAGGGGTTGTTGTGGAAAATACACAATCACCAGCCATTCCTTCCCACAATACTTCACAATAACCTAACCTCTGCTCAGGAGCACTGCCAGAATATATTTATGAGGGTATATTACTGTTTGCAAAGACTGAAAAGCAGGAAATGGTTTGTGTTTGAGGCTGTAAGCTTACTTCTTTGAATCATTTAAAATGGGCAGACAGGGAGGTTGCTAAAATTGTTTTACAGCTGAAATATTAATTGGGACCAAGAGCACACAAAACGTGATCTTCAGCTTGCAGAAAAGCCTATCTGTCAAGGTATTGGATTCAGATTTGAAGGTGGGTGGACTGGCCTCACAGGGATTTGGGGAGGACAGGAATGTGAGAACATTAAACCTCCTGTTATTAATCAGAGTTCTGAGCAAGTCAGGCCAAGAGGAGGAGGTCCATAATAGGCAGTGTCTCTGAAGGACTATGAGGGGCTTCCATGCTGGCCCTTAATCGCTGGTGATTTCTGAATCCTCACTTCAGGTTCCACTTGGCCTGGCTGTATTTCAATTCTATAAAGTTTCTGATCTTTACAATACATCCAGTCATATACCTTTTCCCTTGCTTTCAGCTAATTGGAGTAGCTCTCTTTCTCTCATTCCCAGAATAGGGTTCCCAGGACTAAAAGACCCATGAATGGAGAATTTCAGTACAACTTGGCCCACTCTACCCTCCCCCAGGTATCTGTTATGCCTGATACATTTTTCTTTCTTTTTTTTTTTTTCCAGATTTATTTATACAAGCACTGGGTACAGTCAGAAGCGCGGGAGGGTGACAGAATTCACCAGAGCAGGAAGCAGAGCAGGCAGAAGGACTGAAATGCACTGCTGAGGGGAGCAGCGGGTGGCAGGAGAGGTCTGCGCGCCATGTGGGACCCTCTTCCAGTGGCCGGGGAGCAGCCGGAATCGAACCAGCGCTGCAGAGGCTGCGGGCAGCTTCGCAACCCAGCGCTCAACCACTGCACCACGGGGGAGACCCCTTTCTTTCTTTTTTTTTAATGGGCAAGATATGCCTGACACTTTTTTTTTTATTATTATTTCATGGAAACTGAGCATAAAGCAGAATAAGAAAGAAAACTAAGGATCAGCTCTGAATATACAGTCATTGTGAAGAATAATACATTTCTTGAGCAAGGAGGTCTTTATAGGTCCCAAGGTGACAATATATCTAGACCTTTTATTGGTTATTTCTCAGGTTTTGAGAAGAAGAAATCAAGAAGGTCCATGTATGTGGTATAATAAAGATAATAAAGATAAGATATAAAGATTAGAGATAAAGAAAAGCTATGCCCAAATTGCTCATTATGTTAAAAAAAATAAATGATTCATAGATGGTGGCTTATGCAGAGTAGCAGCAATATGTTTCAACTAAACAATTTCTAGATGGCTAGAGAATGTATTCTTTGCTAAATATTCTACACTGGCATATCATAAAAATGTTTTAAATAAAATACTTTCAGTAATTAAGATGGGGGAACTACTTTCAAAATAAAATGAAAATCTCTTTGAACATACATGATTTCAATTTAACCTATGCTTTAAGAATATCATAATTTTTAAGAGAAATATTAAAATTGTGATTTGTGTCATCTAGTTGTTACTAGAAAATAACTATCAACTCACTACTAATTCAATGAAGGTTCTAAATTCACAGAAACTTTAGGAATACTCTGTTTCCATAGCAGCAGATAAGAAATAAAGCTAAAATGATTTTATTGATTTTAACAAGGTTTAGAAAATTTGTTCTGTTTAGCAGTGATTTTTGCTTATTTTTTTTTTCTTAATCTTTAGCAATGTCTCATCTTATCTGTCCTAAATGTATTAGGTAAATCATATAAATTTTGAAAGTAAGATAATTGTGACTTATTATAAAAGTACACATTCTTAGAATAATGCATAAAAATATATTCAATTCTTAATAAAAAAGATGCTAAACAACTGAATCAAGATCAGGCATCAAAGACTAATGACATGTTGAGTCAGTTTAAATATGAAGAAAAAACAATGGTGTTTAAAATCATTAGTTTTAGATCATTCATGAACAATTCCAAATCACACTACAATATTTGCTGCTATTGTTAAGACTCAGATCCAAAATCACAATTTTAAACATAATTGTTACAGTTATAAAATGCAAGTTTCTTCATGGGCAATGCCACAGCACAACAGTGTGTAACTCGAATTGGTAAGATGATTGTGCCAAGTTAACATGTTAAGAAAACAGAAAATAGACTTTCTTTCATGCATATGTTAACATGCATTTTTTTTAACCAACTAGCATTTTAAAATTTCTACTTGTGAAAACACAGAAAAATAACTCACCTGTAACAGACATACAGCCTAATGGAGCGATGACAGTAATAGGGGCGAATCCATAAGCTGCAAAGTTTCCTGTCTCTCCCACAGCCATCAGGATGATCCCACCCCACCATAACATGCTCTTGAAGTATGGTCTTGGGTGCTCTTGGTGTGCCAACTGAAGATGGGAATATTTCTGCAAGAAAATCAGAATGTAAATAAGGAAACATTTCCACCCAGTTAAAACTTGCCTTGAAATTTTGGTCTTATAAATTTGTATCATGATTTTTTTTTTTTAAGATTTATTTTATTTATTTATACAAGCACTGGATACAGTCAGAAGCGCGGGAGGGTGAGAGAATTCACCAGAGCCAGAGTGGGGAACAGAACAGGAAGACCGACGAAGTACACTGCTGAGGGGAGCAGTGGGCGGCAGGAGAGGTCTGCGCGTCATGTGGGACCCTCGCCCCGTCGGCCGGGGTTGGGCAGCTCCGCAATCCAGCGCTCAACTGCTGCGCCACTGGGGAGGCCCTGTATCATGGTTTTTAAACGTATTTGCAGATTTTTATAAAGCAATTATCATGATGACTTCTGTTTGTTTCAAACATATAAATAGCAAAAGTGACTCACAATTATGAAATACTTTATAGTTAAAAAGGCCTTTTAATATATGAATGTTGCTTAATTTTCATAACTGGTCTCTAAAATAAGTATCACTCTTACTATCTAATGATGAGGCATAGATTGAAGAACTTAGATACTTTTTAGTCCACTATACCAAAACACTTCTTTCAGAATGTCAAAAAATACTAAAATAATAAAAATTGAGACAAAGATACCGAATTACTAGAAAGAAACATTTGAAAATAAATTAAAGTTTATGGGTCAGAGTAGCTACCATAGTAAACACATTTCTGGCTGAATGTTTTGGTGGCAGATGCTTGGGGGAACACATATCTGATATGAGTATTTCTCTATATTTGAAACAAAATCCTAAAAAATTGGCCATTAAAGAAAAAAACACAATTGATTTTATAGCTATACTTACTTCCTCATGAGACATAGGTACACTTCTAGATTATTTTTAAATAATTTAAAAAAATATAGAAGTGGGCCTCCCCTGGTGGCGCAGCAGTTGAGCACTGGGCTGCAAAGCTACCTGCGGCCTCTGTAGCGCCAGTTCGATTCCCAGCCGCCAGTGAGGGTCCCATATGGTGCGACAGACCTCTCCTGCCTCAGCAGTGTACTTTGTCATTCTGCCTATTCTGTTCCCCGCTCTGACTCTGGTGAATTCTCTCAAACTCCTGTGCCTCTGAGCTGTATCCTGGTTCTTGTATAAATAAATAAATCTTAAAAAATAAATAAATAAAAAATTATAGAAGTACCAGAAGAAAACACAGAACATGGAAAAAATAATCCTGGTTTATGCCAAGATTATGATTACTCTTCAAATTCATAAGCCACCTAGGCACTTTGCTGTAGGCACACAATACTGTTAAGAAGTCCATAAAAGCATTTAGCTTCTTTTAAAATCACAAGAAAAGTAAATACAATCCACTCTGGAATATATTTATTCTTATATCAATGAACTCATAAAATATAAAATTTTATTTTTTTTCTTTCTGGCTTATTTCGCTGAGCATGAGCCCTTCCAGCGCCATCCATGTTGCTGCAAATTGCATGTGTTTATCTTTTTTGAATGCTGAGTAATATTCCATGGTGTATATGTACCACACTCACTCATAGCAGGAATCTAGAAAACTTAAATAAAGGACCAGGAAAATGAATAACTATAAGAAAGTGAAAATCAAAATCAACAAACAACTATGAACCAGAGACACTCTATGGGGGGTGGGGGGCGGGGAGGGGAGGGATTGGGGTCAACATAAGGGGGTTGCAATTGTATGGGGAATATAAAAATAAAATTTATTTAAAAAATATATAAAATTTTATATTTTTTATGGAGAAAGGAATCCAAGAGCTCAAAAGTGCCCAAGGTCTATGAAAGTCATAGTTTATCCCTGGATAAAATGAAAGAATTAGAAAAATTAACTTTATCTTACCTGAATATTAAGGGAAATGCTGATTACTAAGTTTCCTAAAATGGCTAGCAAAACTCCAAAAAGGTGAACCTGTAAAAGAAAATGTTTTCTTTAAATGGTACTTTAAATAATATTTGTTCTGAAAAACAAAACACAAATTTAAGTGAACATATTTGTTTATTCATTCAACAGACATTTACTTAGCACCTATTTTCTAGTGTCAGTTTAGAATATGAGAACGGTTTTATTAGGATTAGTTTTTAACTTTAGTCAATTTTCTTTTTTAGACTGGGACTGTCCTTTTATTTAGTTCTTTAGATATTAGCTTCATTTGCTGAAAGAAAATAGTCATAGGTTCCAACTGTCCAACTAAAATGCTTCTTATTTATCATTTCTGGCCATTTTCCTCAGTAATTCTACTAATTAGAGTGCTTACTACCTCAAGTATTTTTTTTTTTTTTGCATAGAAGAACTGGGGTGTAGGCCAGAGGTGCAGGGGGTGAAAGGATTCACCAGAGACAGATTCACTGAAATACACTGCTAAGGGGAGCAGCAGATGAGGCAGGAGAGGTCTGCAGCACCATGTGGGCTAGCTCCTTGGCTGACAATAGAACTCAGGCCACAGAGTTGATAGCGCTGAGATTTAACCCCTAGGCCACCAGGGAAGCCCTCAAGTATGGATTATATAAGTTTTTGTTCTTTCTTTTTTCTTAATATTTGCTAGAGGACTGAGATCAAAGGAAAGATCATTGGCCTTGGAGTTAAATAAATCTGAGATTCAAATTTGCTATTTTCTAATGGTCAGCATTGAACAAGTCATTTTACATCCCTGGTCTCAGTAAACAGGGAATGTTGCATATAATGCTTTCAGAAGTTCTCTTTCCTCTAAAGTTCTATAATCTCGATTGGAGATGAACTAAATTTTCTCACCACTTGCCTTGTCAAGTATCCATTTATTTTTCTATAATTAACTACATCATACATAAAATGATACCCGCTCCCCATAATCTGTCTTTACCCTGACCATCTAACTATCCATGGCACACTTAATATGCTCCCTCCTCTACCTCAGGTACCTGGCACATGACATTCTCCAGTCAGATGTCACACTTTTGCTCATCATTCTTTCTACTCACTAAGACTGAGCAGCAACTTCCCTCAGTCCATTCCACTCACACCTCACCCCCCCTCGCATGCTGTGATCCACCTCTGTGAGACCTTCTCACAACACCTTAACCCACCTTTAGTTTCTCAGACTCTACATGGTAAACATCTCCTATTTATTCTTTTTTTTTCCTCCTATTTATTCTTTTATAGTGTCATGTGCACCATTTAGCTGAATAAAGGGCAAGCAAATTCTCGGAGGGAAGAGAACTATGTCTTAGGTTTCCTCTATGTCTTCTATATCATCTACAATACAAAATTAGGGGTTTAATGATGTATAAATGGCTTAAAACAAGAACTCCAGAGGTTAAAAATTTAGTTCTTGCACATTGCCCAAGATGTCTATCATTGATAGCATATAAATTTTGATGACTTCAAAAGATACATCTCCTGCTTTCGTCTAGGTACAAAGAACATTGTAATATCGTCTGGTCAGATAAATTAGCAATGATATAAGGGATTCCTCTTTCCCCTTGCAGTACATAACTTCTAGCTAGCTTCAAATTCCAAGGAGTTATTTGAATTTCAAATGAACATTATGACCACAAAGAACCCTTTTCAGAATGTAAAATGTCTTTGAAGTTTTAGAACTTTATTAAATGTGCTGAAGTGAAATTTGGTATTTAAAAAAAATGAAGCAGAAAAGTTGAAAACTCACTTTATAGTTGATATATAATATCCATAGTCTTTAATCAGTTAAGAATTTTCTTTTCCTAATAAAGGCACTTGGCAATAATTTTGATCATTATTCCTCATGGGGAATAATTGTATCATAATACAATGTGCTATTTCCATGCTTTCAGTTTACAATTGAATGCATTTGGCAGTAATCAGGAAAATAAAGATTCAGAAGAAGTTTGGGACTGAATGGATAATTATGAAATTCTTCCATAATTATAAAAGTAAATTGTTGAATAGAAATAACTTATTTTAAAATTCTTTAAATCATTCACTGGATAGTTTAAATGGCACCAGACTGAGGCTTTAGAAATTGGTGGCAGGATTTGTCAATAATTTCTTGAATATGACACCAAAAATATAGGCAACAAAAGAAGTAAACAGTTGAAATTTCATCAAGATGAAAACCTTTTGTGTGTTAAAAAACAGTATGAAAAGAGTAAAAAGGCAACCTACACAATGGGGGTGGGGGGGACATTGCAAATCTGAAAAAGGATTGATATCCAGACCATGTAAAGAACTCTACAACACACTACACAAAGAACAGCTCCACAATAACCACCATCACCACCACCACTATCCAATTTAAAAATGGGCATCTCTCCAAAGATAAACAAATGGTCAATAAGCACATGAAAAAATGCTCAAAAATACTATTAATTAAGGAAATGCAAATCAAAACCACAATGAGCTACCACTTTACAATTAAAAAAAACAAACAAGTATTGGTGAGGCCATGGAGAAATTGGGACCCCTGTGCTCTGCTTGTTCAATAGCCAACCTAACCCCATGTAGAAAAATTAACTCAAAATCAGTAGAGCCATAAATGCAAGAGCCAAAACTATAAAATTATCTGTGGAACAGAAAGGGGTAAATCTTTATGACCTTTTACTTGACTACGGAGTCTTACAGAAAAGACACCAAAATCATAAGCAATAAAATAAAAAATACCTGCACTCCATCAATACTCAACATTTTTCTGTTTCCCAGGACACTATTAAGAAAATGAAAATGCAACCCATAAAATGGGAGAAAATATTTGGAAACCATACTACCTGATAAGCAGTTTATATCTAGAACATATACAGAACTCTTATAACCCAGTAATAAAAAGACAAAAACTCAATTGAAAAAGGAAAAAGGTGGGCCTCCCCTGGTGGCGCAGCGGTTGAGCACTGGGCTGCAAGGCTGCCCGCAGCCTCTGCAGCGCCGGTTCGTTCCCCGGCCGCCGGCGAGGGTCCCACCAAAAAAAAAAAAAAAAAAAAAAAAAGGAAATGGAAAAAGGAGCTGACCAAAGAAAGAAGACAAATGACTAAAATGCACGTGAAAAGATGTTCAACACTGTTAGTTACCAGGGTACGCAAATTAAAACCATTGTGATATACCACTTCACACAAAGTAAAATGGCTATAATCAAAAGGTCAGAAAATAACAAATGATAGGAAACACAGAGATAAATCAGGACACTTATACATTGCTGATGGGGATACAAATGGTGCAATCAATTTGGGAAATAGTCTGGCAATTCCTCAAAAAGCAAAGCATAGAGTTTCCATTTGATTCCGCAATGTCACTCCTATGTATGAATCCAAGAGAAATTAAAACATATCTACATGAGAATTTGTACACAGTGTTATTAGCAGTATTATGTATTATAGAAGAGTGAAAACCACTCAAATGTCCAAAAACTAGAGAATGAATAACAAAATGTAGCCTATTTATACAATGGAATATTATTCATCTGTAGAAAGGAATGAAGTGCTGATATATGCTATAATCTTAAAAAGTTTGTTAATCAAAGAATCTAGCCACAAAAGAGCACATATTTCCATTTATATGAAAAGTCCAGAACAGGCAAATCTATAGAGACAAAAAACAGATTAGTGTTTGCTTAGGGCTAGGGTTAGGGATAAGAGTTAGGGGCACTTCTTTCTGAAGTGATGAAAATGTTTTCCTCATCATATTACTTTCAACAATACTACGTCATTATATTTCAGCCTGATCTCTTATACAAAGAAAATAACAGATTAAAAAATAATTAGGACTCACTGTTAAATGGGAAGGTTAGTCCATTTATGTCTATTGTGATTTCAATATATTTTCATTTATTTGTATATTCTCTTTGGGGTTTATAGCTATTTTGCTTTTTCTTTGCATCTTAATTTCTCCTTGACTGCATCTAGTTGGATTTACTGAATTCTCTTTTTTTTTTCTTACTCAACTGGGTAAGAAGTTATACATATTATTTCTGTTATTTTACCATTTCAAAATCTTTTTATTTTGAAATAATTATAGACTTATAGTAGGTCACAAAGAAACATACTCTTTCTCTGGTCCTTGCCTCATTGTTAGCAACTTAAGAATCTATAATAAAATATTAGAATGAAGAACTTGGCTATGGTAAAAATCCTATTCAGATTTCATCAGTCATACACACACCCCATGTATATGTGTATATACGTGTGTAACAACCACCACAATTAAGACACTCTTCTGTAATGTCATCATAAGATTCCCCTGTATTATGCCTTTATAATATAGCCCTCCTCTCACCTTCCCCATCATTAACTCCTAGCAACTATTAATCTGTTCTCCATCTCTACATATGTTTTCTGCTAGCCAATAGTAGAGAACATATCTGGTCTGATTTGGTACATTTTTTTTAAATCTGAGAACATTATTGTTATTAATTTAAATGGGAAAATTTTTGAGCATTCTCAGACTCAAAAAATAACCTACCAAATCAGACCCAGTAGGGACATTCCACTTTTAGATAGTGGGGAAAACCTAGACTTAGGTACTTATGTTAGTTCACAAATGTTATATAAATGGAAACGTGTAATATGTAACACTTTGAAATTGGCACCATTATAATTTCCTTGAGGTTCATGCAGACTGTTGGATCAATAGTCCATTCCTTCTAATTGCTGAGAAGTAGTCCGTGGTTTGGATGTACCACAGTTTGTTTAATCATTTACTCACTGAATATTTTAGTAGTTTCCAGTTTGGGGCTGTTATGAATAAAGCTGCTGTGAACATTTATGTACAAATTCTGCATAATAAGAAGTCTTCATTTCTCTGGAATAAATGACTAAAACTAAAATTTCTGGGTCATATGTGGTAAATCCATTTTTAGTTTTGAAAAGAACTGCCAAACTATTTTCCAGAGTGACTGTACCATTTTACATTCCCAACAGCAATATATGAGAGATTTAGTTTCTCCACTATTAAATTTATCATGTATTTTT